GTTTTTTCTTTGTGGTTTCTTGAAAGGATATAGAAAACACACTGGTGAGAAAGGTCCACAGCAGTCCATGATAGAAAATCACATTCTTCCAAAGTCAGTAGTACTTTTAGTACAGAGTTCATAAAATAGTTTTATAAAAAGAATTGCTTCATAAAATCTGAACGCGGCCATAAAACACTCACAAGTTAGAGAGTTTGGTTTACTCTTTAAGATGTTTTAGAAGCATTAAACAAAAGAAGTGATTTTCTAGTCCTCCCCATAAGCATTTAAAATGCGCTGATAAAGTGAGACTGGGAGATTTAGCTATTGACTCCTGCAAACCTTAAACATTTTCATGCAAACAAGAACGCCACAGGGATGCCTGAGCTGTATTTTTCTTTTACTGTAGGATGGCAAACTGGCTTGTCATGGGAAACCTCTAGCTTTTCCATGAGAATTTGAGGATAGGTTTCTTTAGCCATCTGGTATTAAAGAATACTCTAGCTGAAGCTATATTTAGAAATGACTTAAGTATGTTCTGGGGCTGGGGGGAGAGAGACAGCTTCAGCTGGGTAAAAGCGAATGAATTTCATTAAATTACTGTAGCAGAAACATATTCTCTTTACAAAGGACTTCTGAGCTCACAGGGAACAGGCAACCCCGACCTAAGTGTGGTCGACAGAGCTATGTACCCCCTTTCTGTCCTCATACAGATGTTTCTGATGTAATTACACATAGTGTTTTTGAGGGGAGAGGGTAAAGGCAGACTCATAATTCTACGAGCAATCTGTGAAATCATTTAGTGCTACAAGTTTAATTTACAAGATGAAAACAAACAACCTGCTGCAGCGCCAGTTTAAAAAAAAAACACCTCAAACTTGTGGAGTACAAAAGCCAATTTTTTTTCTAGCAGGTTTTCTCATAGGGGGAGGCTACCCACTTAAGTGGTATAATGTGGGGGGCTGGAGGGAACCCATGAAGGGGAAGAGGCTTTTTATGTTCTTAGTTTTCCCACAAGGGGGCAGCACGCCTACAAAAGACTGGCACACTGCTCTATCTCTCAAGAACCTCTGTCCATCCCTACCTACCTACTTATCCCTTAGTTCTTCACATTTCATCTTCTGTCATCACTGCCTATGAGGAAAGCTGGCAGGCAGGTCTCAGGAAGGATAAATTCATCTAAATTCCCTCATAATACTTCTTCAAGTGTCACTATTAGGGAAAGTCAGAGAAAGAAAAAGCAAATGAGGAAGAAAGCAACAAATGGAGGGAAGAACTAAAATAGGGACAGGATCAGGTTCTGATTTCTCCAAGTTTATTCATCTTCTCTTCATGACTGATGGGCAAAGCTCTAGCTTTTGTTACTAGCTCTTCTCTAGCTCCTGGCCTAACTGCTAAATCCCAACTTCAATGTTTCTGGATCCAACAACTAGACACTGGAAAGAACCTGTGTGACAAGATGAAGCCTGCACTTCCAGGGCTAGATCTGTTGAAGAAGTAATTCATGTTCCTCAGATACCAGCATACCAGCCTGGCTGCCTTAACATGGCACCTCAGAGATGTCGTCCTTCATATAGACTGAGGGCGTCTGATCCTGTTAGTCCAGTTTATAGTTTATTGCTGTGCTCAGTCCAGCCTTTAGTGGTCTGCTTTGGGAATTAACAACACTTACTAGCTAGGGCTCAGGAGCCAAAACAACCAGTGTGCCCTGTCTGGGTCTTACAGCTAAAACCAGAAGGTTGACTACACTAAGCTTCATGGGAAGCTGTTCCTGATGTTTTACACAAATGGTTTACAATTGGTTCTTGAAAACACCTGAATTCTTAATCAGCTAGAAGCCTTTCAGTCAGGCCATATAGTTCAAAATTCATACCCAACCAGTTCTATTCTGCAAACAGAACAAAATGTATCAAGATATTCTCTTTCCAAAGAACTGCTTCCCAAAGACATTATTTTTGAGTAGGGGAGACCTCACTGTAACTGCAGATAATCTCTCTGGCAAGGACAGAGCCACTGAAGATTTTATTTCAGCATTATCTTCTCTTTTCTATATTCTGTTTGGCAGAGCAGTAAAATAAGGAAATAACTAATTAATCAAAACTTTCTCTACTATTCAGTGAAAAGTAAGCTGAGTAAGAAGAAATGAGTTATTGACATTATGCGTTGAGTTCATTTTCTGAAGAGAGTCTGTAAGAGGTATATAAGGTATCTGCTAGGATTACTTTATGTCTACAGGTTATACTCAAACTATCTTGTCTTAAAATTTACAAAAATTCTAACCCCTGGTTTATCTTAATCAATATTGACTTTAAACGGTATACTAATTAGGAAAAAAAGCTTGAATAGACTGTAATAGTGTGCATCAAAAATGAAACAATAATCAGAAGATATTCCTACTCTATAATTTTGTTAGTTTATAAAATTACGACGAGATTCATCCTCATAATGGTGACACTAAGAAATCAAATTCTTTGCTGTTAGCACCGGAAGTCAGGATTTTTGAATGGACAGTGTAATATGAAAATCTTTAAAATTTCAGGTTAGGCATTTTCTTTTCTTGTTATAAATAGCATGGTAAAATAAATAAATAAATAAATTTACCCCTAAAGCAACTCAGAGGCCAACCTTAGGTTCATTTTTTCATGAACAATGAGGGGGATTAAAAGAATTTAAATCAATTAAAATTTTTGACAACTGTGGTATTTGACAAGGAGCAGGACTAAATTTGGTTGCTGGCCTTAGGTTATTAGGATGATTTATTCGAGTAAGCAAAATAACTGTTGAAAGTATCAACCAGGACATGTTTGCATTTGTTGCGGTATATTGTAAAAAAATGACCAGAGCCTTTTCCTCTGACTTTAGATTTTAAAATCTATCTTCCCAATTAAGCTACATAAAATTATTAACTCAATTTATAAACCCAGGCAACTATTTATGCCTATGAAAACAAGAGACCTGGTAATTTAAAATAGGTTACTGGCAGTAACAAGATTAAAAGCTGGAAATGTTTGAGCTTTAAACTTAATATAAAACTGACATTAAAAATGTCATTAAATAAAATACAAATTAAAAAAATCTCATTTTACAATTTAAACTTATGAGCAATTAAAAATACAGCTTAATAATCTTCTACGGCTATACAATAAAGGATAGTTCAAAAGTAAATATTTCACCTTATCATGAATGCAATTATTCGAAAACATAAAAGATTCTGATTTATTTAAAGAGAGATTTTTCTTTAGGAACCCTAAAGGATTTATGTATGTTATGCATACTATAGATTGCATATCTGCGTTTCTAGACAAAGTTCACCATGTTTGACACGTTTGATAATATCTGATTATTATCTAAAAATGGCCCCAATTTTTATCATCAGAAATGGTCTGAGTGCAATGCAAACAGATGGATTTTGTAATTGTTATTATCACAAAATTTTAAAATTGGAAAAACATCACATTTTTCGTGACCCCAAACTTAAAAAAGGTGAGTTTCTAGAAACACTACTGACAGATCAAGAGATTAGAGGGTCGTTCATCAACTGGGATTTTCCGGAAGCTACCTGGGGAGCTTCCAAAAGCAGTGGGAGAAGCCCAGGAGCGCATGCGCGGAGGGAGTGCCAGCCCCTCACCTGGTCTGTGGGCTGGGAATGGGAGCTGGCTAGAAGCATCTTCACAAAGTGCAGTATTTCCGACACAGTTACCCGTCCTTTCTGAAAGCTGTCTTCTAAAGCTGTCCTGTCTTTTCTAAAGCTCTATGTCTGCCATATCCGTCATGATTTATTGAGGAGGGTAATAAACCACAATAAACTAGGTTTATTCCCAGAGATTCTGGATAACTTCAGATTCACACATAATGTCACTTAAACCCAATTTTTGTAAAATCTCATTGCTTTTCAGAGCTATTGACAAAAGAGCTTGTAAGAAAGCTGTTCCCCGTGCAATCTCAGAAGCTTGGTGGCAGTGTGAAATTGTGGAAGAATGATTTCACTATTTTATTGGCTAATGTGTTTTTGCTAGACAGCTTTCAAAATGCAGAAAATACACTATGGGCCCATGTCAACAGCACCAGTCTCTGGAAAGAATATATGAATTTGATTCAGGAAATGCTGACTTCTGAAGCACTGCAACAGACAAAATCATGATGAAAACATTTTGTGGGAAAATGAATTATATGTTGACAAGTGTGTATTTCTTTTCAAGATTAAAATAAAAGTGACTTGACATCTTTTAAAGGGTTGTCCTAAGGCAAAATCCCTCTTTAAACATAACTCATTTAAAACACTTCATTATCCTGTTACAAGCAGCAACTATAAATATGTAAACATTTGTCTTACAGCATTTTCCACAGTAACCTTTCTCCCTTGATAAAATATTTAAGCTTGAACATTACAATTGATATATAAAAAACTGACTTGTATAAGGAAAGCACATTCATGGGAACAAATTCTATGTTTGAGAATTTTATTATAACTAAAAAGTGGGTGTGTCAGTTCTTATTCACAAATTTTTGAACCTTCACCTTGACCAACCTCAGACACTGGCATCACTAGGACTAGAGCTGAACAAGGACCCACCCTGGGAGAAGATGGCAACAGGGAAGAGGAACACCATTAAAAAAAAAAAATGCCCTCCACACATTTCATCTTGGGGACAGCCACCAGGTCTATACACTGACCTCGAACAAGGCATGTGCAGTGTGGGGACAGTTTCCTTCATTAGGTCAACTCCAAGTTTAGGTGAGCCTTAACAAGTAGGAGCTTCTTTGGGCTAAGAAAAAATCCAGGGTAGTTGCAGGTGACTCGGCCTTTGCATCCAACCTCTCACCTCCACAACTGCTCTTCACCTGCTATTATGCTGTTCCTGAGACCCCCACCCACTCCTCCTCCCCTAGGGGATCTCTTATTCTGTCACTTTAACCATCACACTAACTCAAAAAGACTGAAATATCTGAGTAGCCCGAAAAACTGTCCAATTTCTAAAGATTCTAGTAGGTATTAAGTTAGAAAATTCCACAAATCCCACCTGATGATCCAAATATATGGTGTTCCTTTGAAGATGATGTGAAAGAATTTCATTCTAGTAGGCATCAAGAAACAACAGGGTAGAGAGAGGGTGCAGAATTCATGAAAAGGTCATTTTAGAATAAGAAAAACAGGTAGTTCACCCAAGCTTTTAGGTCACAGTACATGACAACTCTCACGCACATGCTCCCTGCAAAGGGGTACAGATGATGTGTCAACTTATTGCAAAATTAAACTTATCTTTGCAAGAAATTAAATAGACATGCAATAAGCCGAAATACTAAGAAAAAAAAAAATCCCTTCAAATGGCTTTTTAGCAGACTCATGTTAGAAGCTTTACAAGTTCATTCTTTTCTGCAATAGGGTATGACTCTGAACAACTCCCATATATGAGAGGCCATTAAACCCTTTGAGAAATATTTATGAGTTCTTCTTTTCATCAAGGACAAAATAAATCTCCACCAACTAGATTTTGACGTGATGCCACGTCAAAAACTCATCAATTTTAAAACTATCATCAATTTTCAATGTATTACATTACATGACTGGCAATTATTGGATTTTGCAGATGTGGAATTTAGAGCAACTGGTGAGTAACACCACCACCTTGACATCTGCATGCATTTCCTTCCCCAGGGTCCCAAGTGGATGGGTGGGAAGCTAAGAAGAAATGCATCCTCCCTGTACCTTCCGTGTCCTGAGTAAACCAGTGAATTCTCAAAGGGTCAGCAGGCGATCAGGTCTCCATAGGGATGGGATGAGGCATGCTGGGCACTAAAGACACCGACTGACGGATTAATGAGTGGCTGAAAATTAATGGCAGACGACACGGACAAGCGTCTTCATAGCTGACCTTTGGGCTGTGGGCCTCAAGTTTCAGCTGCATGAGCTGCGCTAAGGTGTGCTCCCGGATACTACTCAGCTCAGCCTGCTGCCGCCTCAGCTTTATCAGCAGCAGCGTGAGCTCCTCAGGCTGAAGGGGTGCAGTTTAAGAATCCAAACAGTGGAAAACAGATTAATTGTTGTCTCAAGTGACAGATCTTAAACCAAGATGTCTTGGCAAGTTTCCTCTTATGGTTGACATCAAGCACAGTGCCCAAGCCCTATGCTGATGCGTCTACATAAATGCAAAGACATCTAGGGAGACAGAAGGAACAGTGTTAAGGACACCGCAAAGCCACAGCATAGCACCACGTGCTCTCAGAACTCGTGAGGGCTATTCCAAAGTTATGTCTAAAAAGCACCGTGTGATACACCACTGTCAAGGTTGGTTTGTGACCCTTATGAAAAGATTAAAAGCGATTAAACAAGATGCTTAAATATGACGCCTAAGACTTCTCCAGCAAAGGGGGAACACGTGTGAGCCCAGCGCTGCCAGAGGACTCAAGTTCTTGGAAAATGTGGACAACTTCTTCCTCCTAGGGAGCTCAGAGCCTGGGTGCTAGTCATTGCTTCCCGGTTCCACTTTTACTTTATTTTTTTTTACATTTTAAAAGGGCAGGCTTACTAGCCAAAGGAGAAAGAAACAGCGAGAGAGACACTTGCATTGATACAGATGGGCAGTTTTGGGACAAGAGCTGCCTGCTTGGATTTTAAATGCCACCGATGACGCTTCCCTGAGATACTGTGTATGAATGAGAGGTGAGTGGCTATTTTTTAAGGAGCAACTGTATTGAATATACGCAGAAAGTTCATACCGTTCCTCACTCTGGGGGAGGAGAGAGTGCCTTTTGCTTCCTGATCTATGATTGCTAAGGGAAACACATTTTCAAAGGCGGGGAAATTCCTCAACAGGCCAACTTGATAAAGATTTTTCTTTGCGAGAAACGCAGTAAAGTAGGGTCACGAGCAGTTTTACGGGCCATAAAACACCACCCGTGCTTCTCTGGGCCCTGCTGTGATTCAAGGCTGCGGACAGGCCAGAGCGATCCTCTCCTCACCAAGGCTGCCCAACTTTTCAGGCTTGGAGGCTGGAATGTGGCCTTGAGGCTGATTTGTTTTGCCTCCACCACAGCACTGCCCTGGCTATCTCCTGCTCACTGCTTGTTGCTCTTTATTTTCTATACAATTTTGGAAGGGAGGGAAGGAATTCTTAATTGTTGCTTGAAGTTATATTAAGATCACTGCCTTCAATCTGAGATAAAATGCCCAAAGTAAACCACAGTTACTACTGTACCCTTTAGATGAAACTGATGACACACATCAGCCAGTGCTCTTTTATAGTAAACAGTCAAAGAATGGGTGTGAGAGACTTAAAGGAGACACCTGGGCACACCCCCGGATGTCCCAAGGGCAGGGCAGTTCACATTTTAGGAGCACATCCAGCTGCTGAGGTCTTGCCAGAGAAAAGGTAGGTGTGGTCAGAGATTAGGAAACCTACAATTCAGAATGGTATTTGACAGAAACCCAAACAGAGAACTCTTAAAGCTCCCATTTATTACTTATGCAATTAAAAAACTAGTTTCAAAAGGGATAAAAAATTTTAGTAAGCTTGCTAGACCTGTCCATTTTCAGGCCAAATAATGAGGCACATTTGAATACTACCCAAAAGTAGTAGAGCTCCAAGTATATTTTCTTCCAAATATCCACTAGAGGGAGCAAGTAGAAAATTTTATAATACAACATTCAGTATTCTCTTACAGGTAATGCACAATTCCAACACTGAAAAGATTTTCTTAGTTTTAGTCATGCAATGTCTATATAACACTTAGTCAATATGTCGCAAGTTGTTTAATGCCCAGAAATATTTCCTGAAATCTAAGCTTATATGAGATGAAAGGTGAAATAAAGGAATGTATTGCAAAACACGTACAGGATGAATTTGTTTTGATTACTGCAAGAAGAGAATTTTAAATAGAGAACATCTATAAAGGAAGGCCCTCAAATCACATCTGTAGTAAAATGGACACTACCAATTGGTATTAAAGCCCAGTTCCCCTTGTACAGGGATGGATTAAAATAAGATATGAAAAGTCCTCCTTTCTCTTTAAGATGAAGAGTAATAGTGTCCTCATAATTTAATTCGTGATTTGAACACGATACCGACGATGAAAAAGGTAAGGAAGGACAGATATTGGCTGAACCTAGTATTTTTAGTCTTTTCTACATAATAGAAAAACCAGCTTGTTTTATTCTTTTAATTAATCTATATAAAAACCCACACGAGAAACTTCTTGGTAGGCCTGTAGTTTGACTACACACACTTGCTTGCTGGATTTAACCCATGATTTAAAAGACGAGGAAATTAACATCCAGCAAAGTAAAGAAAGCCACCCAGGTTAGACAATACACTTGAAAATATAATCCTGTATTCAGACAACCCAAAATACGCACTAAGACACTGAAAAGGTTATATGAATCCAAATTCCCCAGTGAGTGTCTCTTCTGCAAAAGTAGTCATGATTTCTACTTGGGAGATGCCTCCGTGACAAACGCTAAGTCAGACCCGTGCTATTGGGTGCAAGGGCAGGAGCTGGGAAACAAGGAAGGCGCCATACTCACCGTCTTGCCTTGGAGGCTGTGGGGACTGACAGATTGCAAAGTCAGGCTGGCTGGCATTGACCTTCTTTCAGGCGCATAGACATGCTAGGAAATAAAGGCACAACATGAATGCTGTGGGAAGCCTTGGTCTTGTCAATGTCAGTAATGAGAAATCTGTAATTCATATTATAAAACACCACTAAAACCACCCTTAGTGCTTACAAAAGGCACTGTTTGACTCCCGACACTGTTGATGAGCAGAGTGAATCCACCGTCTAGCTCAGTGGCCTCAAGCTTTCTGGTCTCATGACTCCTTTACATTCTTTTTTTTTTTTTTAAACCTATTTATTTATTTATGCCTACAGAACTGGGGTGCAAGCCAGAGGTGGAGGGGCAGTGAGAGGATTCGCTAGAGACAGAGTGGGGAGCAGAACAGGCAAAGTGACAAAAGTACACTGCTGAGGGGAGCAGCGGGTGGGTCAGGAGAGGTCTGCCGCACCATGTGAATCACCTCCGGGGCCAGGGATTGAACTCGCACTGCAAGGGAGTTCAGGGCTGCGGCTATGGCTTGCTTGCAGTGCTGTGCTTTATTCCAGTTGTGCCACATGGGAGGCCCTCCTTTACATTCTTAAAGAATATATTTAATGACAAGCGTGGCATTGCCTGACAGTTTAGAAAACCTCATGTCTGCTGGATTCTCACATCTGCTTCTGGTTTCATTCTGTTGTAAAGGTCCAGCTTAGTGGAAAGTGCTAAGAGGAAGTGGATATGGAAATCTACATTCAGTATCTGTGATTAGGAAAAGGACGAGAACTTGGATAGCTTTTTGGGCAACAGCAGAGATTCTTCTTTGATACTGCATAGAAGTCTGATGTATGCTGCTCTCTTAAAGGTTAGTTAGTGGCATCTGAACCCTATCAGTGATTCATACTCTGTTGCATTAACCTTGGTCTAGCTGTACTTCAAGTGAATTCTGTAACACCAACATCACTGGAAAATGCCAGAATCGTGACTTATGCACATATGCCCTGCATTAACGCATTTCAGCACACACTAACAGTAACTCACATTTGTTAACACCACCCCCGATGTGGAAGTACTGGGAGCCGTCACCTACGCCAGGGCAGACACAAGCACTCCAAAATTCTAATTTTTGCCTCAAAGTTCAGATGTCGTCATGAAGTGAC